CCCAGATCCCGCCCCAAGCCCCGCCCCTCAAGGCCAGATTCCGACAAGCCCCGCCTTCAGCCCACTCTGATTCCCTGAGCTTAAGCCAGCGGCAGGGCTGGCAGCGACTCCAGCCCCTCCTGCCCGCAGCCCCTTCCCCCCAACACACCCCGAGGGAGCGGCCTGGGGAGCCCAGAAGGGAGGGTCCTCGGCTCCACCCTCTGGGTTTGGCTGTACCGGTCCCACCACATCCAGGGGTTGGGGGCTTGGTGGGGCGTGTCTGCCGGGTCCGCTGCTCACGGACTGTCTTCCTTCCTACAGATGCGTGCTCCTTGGGGGGCCAGGAGACACCCTGATAGCTCTGGGGACTCACCTGGACCCTTCCCAGGTGCAGGACAGGGTAATTCCCCTCCTGTCCTGCACGGCCTGCGCCCCCGCCTCCCCAGGCCTCCTGCTCTCCCACCAGATTCCCCTCCCACCAAATCCACTTGCATTGTTCTGCCTGGTTTTGGTGCTTCAGTCTCAGCTCCCCTCCTCCAGGAAGCCCCCACGGATTTCCTTCGTCTGACATAACAAATGACCACAAACAGGGTGGTTTAAAAACAAGAGACAGTTACCCTCTCACAGCTCTGGAGGCCACAGGCCCTAAATGGAGGCGTGGGCAGGCAGGGCTGGCTCCTCCCGGGGTTCCAGAGGCGACCCCCTGCCTCCCCAGCTCCTGGTGGTGCCAGCAACCCTGGCCTCCCTGGGCTTGTAGACACGTCCCTCCCATCTCTACTCCACTGTCCCATGGCCGTCTCCCTCTGCGTGTCTGTGCCCAAAGGTCCTTCTTCTTACAAGGACACCCGTCATTGGCTGTGGGGCCCACCCTAAATCCAGGGGGCTCTCATTGTGAGACCCCTAAGTAATTACTTCTGAAAGAACCTATTTCCAAAAAAGGTCACATTCAGAGTTCCAGGTGGACTTGAATGTTGGGTGCAGTGTGTCCCCATTTGCCCCAGCTCATCCCCTGAGCACCAGGCCCCTGCTTTGGGAAGGCCTGGGTCCTCGTCCTCCCTATGAGGGTCCCTTGGGGGACCCCCATTCACTGCCCTCACAGGGCTGGGTCCCCGGGAGCCCCTGGGACACACAGGCAGGTGGGTGGGGTCTTGGGGACACCTTCCCCCAAAGTAGACACCAGGGAACCCTCAGGCCCCTTCCCCAGGTTCCTGGAGAGTTCGGGAACCTCGGTAAAGCAGTGAATGCAGGTCGGGAGGTGGCCTTGCCCTCTCCTGGCAGTCACGGCGTCCGCACTGGGCAGCTTCCTCTATCTGCACCCCGTTCCCTGGGCCCCCTGGCTGTCCTGGCTACGAACCCAGGGTCCTGGGGACATTGGGGTGCTTTGACTTCCCGTGGGTCTAACTGACGCTGCCGGCATCCTGGTGCCGCCTTCTGTCCGTCACATGCGTGGTTTTTTCAGAAACATTACCGGGTAGGAGGAGAGGGCGTAGGGAATCGAGCCAAATCCTGCTGTTCCAGAAGGTTCTACCTGTAGAGAGCGTGAGCTCCGTCTTCCTGCTCTGCCCCCCCCCCCCCCCCCGGTCTTAAAAAGAAAAAGCAGCTTTGGGGACCAGTGCCTGTCTGTGGGCTCCGCGGTGTTTACTGGCCACGCTGGGCCTTGCTCCCACACCAGCCCCTCACCGCCCGCCAGCCAGCCAGGGAGGAGACATCGGTACTGTGGCTGGGCCCCCAGGACCCCGGGGCAGCCCTGGGGCCTCTGGGGGAGCAGTGGTGGGCGTGTTCTGCATCTGCAGAACTTCGGGTAGCAGAGTAGCTCTCAGGGCCGTGCAGGGGATGCTGTGTGTGGGGCAGCTGGGGCGCCTGAGTGTTTGCTGAGTGGGTGGGTGGATGGATGACCACGCCTTTCCTGTCCGTGCAGGGCAAGCCGGAGCAGCAGGCCTCGCTCGGCACCCCACGCCTCCAGACCCCGGCCTTCCCTCTACTCCAGGCCTTGCCCACCCCTCCTGCTCACCCCCATCCCCAGTGCCTCCCCCTTCCACTCAATAAACTGATTCTACAGGCTCCGGGCTCCTCACTCCTTGGGGAGGCCTGAGGGGGAGCACAGCGCGCCCCACCTCGGCCTTGGGCTTCTGGGGAACTAAGGCCGGGAGGAGGGTGGGAAGGGACTCTGGCTGCTGGGCTCCTCCTGGCTGAGTGAGGGCGGCAGGCTCTGGCCACGCCTGGACCCCGGGCAGCCTCTCACTCCCGCCGGCTTGA